AAAGGCTTGGTGCGATGTAGTGCTAGCCCGTGGGCGATTCCGACTCTCTTGGTTCCAAAGAAGGATTGGACATAGTGCATAAGCATTGACAGTCGGGTTGTAAAAATCACTCAAATATAGGTTTCACATTTTTTGATTGGATGATCTTTTTGATCAACTAAAAGGGTCAGTTGTTTTCTCCAAAATAGATCTTCGAACTGGGCACCACCAAATACGTATCTGACATATAGATGAGTGGAAAACAGCGATCAAGACAAGAGATGGGCTTTACAAGTGGACGGTGTTGTCATTCGAGCTTTCTAACGCTCTCAGCATATTTACGTGCCTCATGAATCAAGTTTTCCAACCTTTTACAGGAAGGATTATGGTGATTTACTCAGCAATATTTTGATTTATAGCTCTAAGAAATCTGAACATTTGCAACATTTACAAAATGTTTTTGAGGTCCTACGATCACAACAGCCTTTTTCTAATAAGAAAAGGTGTGAATTCCTGGTTGGTCGAATCAATTTCTTGGGATTTGTGATCTTGACAGAAAGAATAGAGGTGGATTCCAACAAAGTTGAGGCTATAAGGGACTGGCCAGACCCTAGCTCCTTCATGGAAGTCCGACAATTCCACAGTTCGGCCTCTTTCATTGGCTCATCAAAAATCTCAGTACCAACCCTGCCTCGCTAACGAAATTGCTCGAATCAATCCATTTTTTTGTTGGATCGAGCAAGCACAACTAAGCTTTGATCTCTTGAAACAAGCCCTATGTACCTAGCTCCTTCAGTTCTAAAGCTTCCATATTTTTTTTGTTTGTTCAAGGTGAAATGTGATACATCTGGCACCAGTATTAGAGTCATTCTTAGTCAACAAAGACATCTCGTAGCCTAGTTTAGCGAAAATCACAACAAATCCAAAAGAAAATATTCAACATATGATAAGGAATTCTATCAAAACTCTTAAGTATCTTCAAAATGAAAAATAATTGAAAGGAAGACACGCCGCATGGAGTGAATATATTTTCGTTTTTCAATGTACTCTCAAGCACAAATTAAGACTCTCTAATCAAATAGTTGATGCTCTAAGCCGCCGACAAGCTATTATATCAGTTTTGCAAGCTAGAGTTGTGGGTTTCGAACTAATACGGGGAATGTATGTCGAGGATCCAGATTTTTTAGTAATATGACATCAATGTGTCGTTGGAAATTATAAAACCTTCCACATCAAAGATGACTTCCTATTCAACAAAAATTGTTTGTGGATTCCCAAGTGTTTTGTTCGAGAAGCCGTATTAGTGGAAGGCCATGACGGTGGCCTAGCCGGCCATTTTGAAAGAGATAAGACTCTAGCTCTTCTTCAAGGTGAACTATATTGGCCTTCTGTATGCTTAAAGATGTGGACCGTCATGTGAATAGATGTCACATTTCCTTTTAGCCAAGACAAGGACTCAAAATTCAAGTGCATACCTTCCTTTGCTTGTTCCTAAATTTCCTTGGACGGATATTAGCTTGGATTTTGTTGCAGGTTTACCACGCACTCAACGACACAAGGATTCTATCATGATGGTAGTGGATAGATTTTCCAAGATGGCTTACTTTGTACCATGCAAAACTTCTTTAAGCACCTCTCACATTGTCGATTTGTACTTCAAAGAGGTGGTTCATTTACATGGCATTCCACATAGCATCACATCAGATCGAGGTTAAATTTTTAAGCCACTTTTGGAAGACATTATGGGGAAATTTGGGAAACTTCAATATAGTTCTACTTCCCAACCACAAAAAGATGGGCGAACGGAAGTTGTTAATTGAAGTCTTTGAAACCTACTTAGTTGTTATCTTGGGAAGAATCTTCCACAATGGGATGTTCATCTATTACAAGTATAGTTTGCCTATATATGGATCTGCAGTCAAACTTCCAAATACATTGACGTGGTTTATGGGAGAAATCCTATATCACCAATTGATCTTACATTAGATTTTCCCATTAAGGTGATGATCCCGGACATTGAGGTTCGACTACAAGAAATCCAAAAGTTACATAAATTAGTTAGTGAGAATATCATTACCAAACAAGCGTGGAAAGACGATCACCTTCAAAGAATGAGACAAAGTATGGATTTGACTAAGTGTTTTCCTCCGGGAAGATATGGGAAGCTCAAGGCCAAAGTTGATGGGCCTTTTCGGATTGTGAAGGGTATTAAAGACAATGCTTATCAAATTGATCTCCCCAGAGACTACAATATTTATATTGCATTAAACATAGTCAACTTGACTCCACATTACGAAGCCGATTCTGAAACTACTTGTCATGAAGAATCCCGCCAGCTCTAGAAGAATGATGTGGGAGCTGAAATTGTTATGTTTTAAGGAGAGTGTCATATTTGTAGTTAAGTATTCTTTCATAGTTTCTTCATTTTTGTTTAGGGGTTGCCTATATAAACTGTCTTGTATGTTAGAAGGGAGGAGTTTTGATTGGTTGTAATAACCTTTCCTATATCCTTCCGGTTAAGAAGTGTATTTAGTATCATGGAGTAAAGCTCATATGGTGATCAGTCTTTCTTTACAGTTAATGCATTTTTTCTCTTCCTTGAGATTTTCGGCCCAGCTTTCCTTTGTTCAGGAATTTTCAAAACTATACATTCAGTTTTGCCTTGTTCCGGTACCACTTTAGGTGTGTTTTCTGTATTCAAATTCATATGAACAATCATGAGAAACTTTATGCAAGGGCACAAATGCATTTTTGTGAGATGTTTTTCCACAAATAAAAGGTGTTGCCATCCTTCAATAAAGTAGTCGTCAATGTAGTTGTAATAATTGTTGAAAATGAGAATTGTTTTCCCAATCCTTATATTAAAGATAGAGATTTTTTTCTTGATTTTTCATCCTCACAAAATAAAAATGATTTGTCATTATGCATTTAAATTCCATTATCAAATGAGTTAGATCCGAAAAACCAGTCTAAAAGCTCAAGATAAATAGGTTCAGAGTGCTACTAACCCATTATAGGTATACTCAAGTAAAGATCTGTTCCAGCCTATTGTCCAATAATATTGATGTAAACTCCTAATTCTACAAATTAGGAAAGTAATGCAACAATTGTTAATGATCGTAATTTCCTATTGCCATGACAAAAGGAAGTAGAAGCGTAATCAGCGGCCTATAGATACCTTATTGTTGTATTGTATTAGAAGCAAAAAATTATCAAGCTTTGGAAAGTGAATAGTAGAAAGTGACCAAAGGTTGAAATAGATGCATTTGACAAGAAAAAAAGACAACTTGTTGGAACTAACTCAATGAAAAAAGCTATTGGTGTGTAAACAGATCCTCAATGTAAAATAGAAGGTATTTTGATTACTTGAACAATATAAGGTTAGCACCTAAAGGGTATAACTTGGAACTACAAGATAAATTATCATGAAATATTTACTCCTATTGCAAAAATAAATACTATAAGAATTTTATCACATTTAGCAACTAATCGTTGTTAGAATTTGCAATAATTTGGCATAAAAAAATATCCTTTGCATGAAGATCTTAATGATGAAATTTATATGGCTCCTTCGAGATTTGAAGGAGAAGAATATGGTTAAATCGAGAAGTACTTTCTCTTAAAACAATCTCACAACACTTTGGTCTGGCAGGTTTGCTAGAATAATTAAAGCCTTGGACTACAAACAAAATCAAAGTAATCACACATCATTTGTCAAACACTTTGCTTCAGGAGGAGTTACATCTCAATAAGTTTGAATAATACAGTTGTAATAGAGGATGACTTGCAAGGAATGGACACATTTTAAAGAAATTTATTGCAATAATTTAAGATTGAAGAACATGCAAATTAAATTGCTTCCACGACATTAAAATGGCTTACTCTAGACATGGGACCCTTAAATCCAAACCATCAAATTTGCTTGATTTATTATTTGAAAAGGGGAAACTATGGTGTAAATCAATGGAGAAACTCATTGACCATAATCATAAGCTTTGTGAAGCTACAGAAGATATCATGCTAAATAGAGAATCCTATCAAATATTAGTTAGTGAAATAATTTCTATTTCTCATGCCAAATCAGATATAGCTTATGAGGTAAAAATAGGAAGTTGATTTACAACCCAGAAGTGCATCTCAGGCATCAAATCAAATTCTACAATACTTAAATGGTACACTAGGAGAAGGAATTTTATTTCGAAAATGCAATGAATTGAAGCATATACATACTCATATTATGTTGGATAAATTAATGAAAAAAGATCTACTTTGTACCAATGACTATGACTCGACGATAAACTGGTGATATGGAGAGCAAAAGGCAAGAAGTAGCTGCAAGATCAAGCGAAAAAACCAAGTTCAAGGCTATGGCATCAGGAGTTAGTGAGCTTTTACATTTCAAAATAACTTTGGATGTTCTTAAGGTTTTGTGAAAAGGATTTATGAAGCTACATTGTGATAATAAGTGAGCAATTACATTGCACATAACACTACGGAACAGAACAACACCAAGACATTTTATAAAGAAGTTGGCCAGCAAACTGATTTAACCCCATTTGTTTCAAACAAGGATCAACATGCGGATGTGTTAACAGATGGATTGGATGAGAATGGAGACAATCGAATCAAGCTCATGAAAGTGTTAGAATTAGTATATATGGTAAGATAAGACTATACAAATTTCACAGTTCAATAGATAGAAAGAAAATGTGCATTACAGCTGTATATATATATGTTGTGTGTAGAATGTCCAAACAGATAGTTAATATCTCTAATTTGGGAGGATTAGATCTTAGAAGAGTTCCCCTTTATTTAACCAAATTGTTCCTAAATATCTCTATAAATTCATTGGTTGATAATACAACAGATTTTCAATTTTTTGTCAAAACATAATTCAAGCTTGTAGTTGGTGAAACCAAATTAATAGAACAATTTCAGCAATCAGAAACCAAAAGATTAATTTGCAATCCATTGAGTGTTATTGCAAGATATGAATTTCAAGTTTCAAGTTAATAGCATACCAGGTGCCGATACATGGGGCTTCTGGGACTCTTTCTGAATGTCTGTGCGTGTCATTTCCTGCTTACAATCATGAATTCACTATATCAATCAATATAGAAGTGCTTAAAATTGTTTTTGGAACAACTATATTATGATTTGAAAGATTAATATAGATAGAAGATACTTTTATCACATTAACAGTGAATAAACTGAAGAGGAGGGGTGGATCTTCAATCTTTTTCATCCATGATAATATGACAAAATAAGCCTACATCATGCCCGTTTCCCTTCAGATTTCAAGGCCAAACAGATACAGGATACAGGTTTAAAAAGATCCAAGTTTCAAAAAAATGAGCCAAACTAGATCAAGGAATCTGAAGCTCATTCTCCTGCAGATTTCAAGGCGAAACAGGCACGACATCAAGGTTTAAAAAGGATCCGTGTTTCAAAAATGACCCACACTAGATGAGGGAATTTGGAATTTCTTCAACATTACCGATCATGGACTTTAACTTCAAGTATTGTATGCTGATTTTAGGGTCTCTTTAGGGAGACATTAGAGTTTTGTGTCAAAAAAATTCAGGGTTGAATTCCATATTCGTATGTGGGCATTTTAGTCCCCATAATACCGCATTATCCAATTTAGTCCCGCGTCCACATCAAATTGATCCAAAATGGTCTCGTAAGACTAAATTCAGGTCAACTTTTATATAGTTAATGACCTAAACTACGATCAATTTTGTAATATAATTTGTATATAAGGAGACATTTTAGATCAATTTTATCTAGGGGATGAAGTAAATTAGGCCAAAATTGGACACACAATAGTTGGGAACTGAGTTGGGATTCAATTTGAAAATTTAGTAACAGGATATTGTGACCAAAAAGTGGAAATGAAGGGCCTCAAAGCCTCAGATTTTGTTAGAATGGCACCTATGGCGCCTTCCGCCTCGTGCTCCATAGAGTCAAGTGGTCCAACTAAACACGCGCAGAGCCCACCAAATAATTTGAAGTCTTATATTAGGCACAAGACTAAAAGGGCAATTTAACCATTTGTTAGTTATTATTGTTGGGTATAAATAGGGCTTAATATGATTAGGGTTAGGGTATGTGACTGTTTTCTTGAATTCTAGGAGTTACATTATGGGAGAGAATTGCCTGCCTCTCGAATTATAGGTCTATCCTTTATGTATTTGAGATCGAATTGTTTTGTACCGGTGCAATAAAATATTTTATTTTGTCCATATCACCAAGGAGTCCTATCACGTTCCTATCAATTTAGTATCAAAGTCGTGCCTGGGAGTAATGGTGACCAAAAAAGTCAATGCTTTTGAAAGAGAAATTAAAGGGAGAGGTGAGTCAAATTAGATCAAGAATGGAGTGTTCTCGGTCATAAAAGGGCAATTCATGAAAATGGAAGAAATGATAAAGAAGATTGTAGAATTCCAGGCAAACATCCCGCTGCCTACCACAAGAACAAACGACGGTGTCTAGAGCGGACTCGAGCGGCAACAGCCGGAAGAGATCAAGGGGCATCAAGAGGGCTGGAGTGGTGAAGGCAGGCGGAACGGGATGGTGGCGTTTGAGTTGGGCGAAGGTCAAATTTGGCAGCAAGGGACTGCGTGGCATCAGGAGAGTTCAAGCGAACAACAACAGACATAACCGGATGACGGTATTCGATTCAGCGCTAGAGAATAGTGATTTAAAGGATTTTGGCCTAAAATAGGAAACTATGGTGAGTTGGGCCATAGCCAAGTGCTACATCCAACCGCACAAGTGTCTTTTGTTGAAGAAACCAAGGCAAACTTCAAGGCGGAAGCCGATTCAAGAGCCTATGGGGATGAACTAGCTGATTATGGGCGAGCCAGACTTATGGAAGAACTCGCGCATAAGGAAGCTGAAAATGTTGATCTTTGAAGAAGATGATATATATGGTTGGGTTTATTGTGTTGAGAGATACATTGTTATGAACGGGCTAACGAAAGAAAGAAAAGTTGGTGGTTCAGCCTTATGTTTAGAAGGGAATGCTCTATTGTGGAATCAATGGAGATAACAACACGAATAAACTTGAGTATGAGAAGAATTCAATGACCGATTGTCGAAGCATTTCAGAACCACTCGAGATGGAAGTTTACACGAGTAATTTTTTGTATTAGTCGAAGAAGAGTTCGTCATGGATTATAAGGAGAACTTTGAGATGTTATCCAGTTGTTTAAGAAAGATGTCAGAATCTGTATGTAAAGAAATTTTATGAAGGGCTTGAAGTCAGAGATTTGAGTAGCACTTCATCTGGAAAACCACGACGATTAAAGAAAATCATAAAACTTAGTGCAATTAATTAAAGATGAAAATTCATTGAAACGGACTAATAGGAGCAGCATAGTTGGTGTGTCATAACAATGACGACACCAAAAGCTCAAACATTGACATTCCAAAGTGTGGCTCAACAAGTCGGGAAGAATGGACCACGACTGGGGTCCGGGAGTGACCTTCAAACGACTTACAGAGAGATTCAAAAGAAGTGAGCCAATAAATTATGTTTTCGGTGTGAAATAAAGTTTGCCCCAAAACACCATTGCAAAAATCGGGCCTTATAGGTTCTCTCGGTATGTGAAGAGGAGGTAGGTGATGAAGAAATAGAGATTGTGGGGACAGAAATAGCCTCACTTGGATGTGACAAAAGTCTCAATTAACTTGGTGGCAGGGTTCACACCAAACCACATTATGAAACTTTGAGGACAGAGGAGGGCGGGAAGTAGTGGTTTTGGTGGATAGTAGGGCCACCACAACTTCATCTCCGCTCAATTAGTGTGGCAGGGTTCACACCAAACCACATTATGAAACTTTGAGGACAGAGGAGAGCGGGAAGTAGTGGTTTTGGTGGGAATTGAGATGGTTGACACAGAAATCTTTGGAGTAACGATGAAAACGGGACATGTGGAGATGAGCAGGGGAGTTTGTAAAGGGCTAATTATGACATTGCAGAGTATTTATGTGATAGAAGTTTTCTTCCCTTGAATTTAGTGAACACTGATGTTATATGTAGTATGAAATGGTTGCAATACTCAGGGAAAACTAAAAGGAATTAGAAACTCCTGACAATGAAGTTTCATGAGAAAGAAGAGAGTAGTGCTTCGCGGAGACCTTAATTTATGCAAGACATTGGCAATACTCAAGACCATGGTTAAGGCACTTCAGGATGCGAGATTAGGATTCTTAATCGAGTTGCATAGCATGAAAGAGACATGTGATATAGAGTTGACAGTGATTTCAACGGCAATCCAACAGACAGAAATAGCTATTACAACAATTTGCAAAAGTTTCCAATTGCCACGCGGATTGCCTCCTCAAAGGGAACACAAGCATGCGAAAACCCTGAGGTCAGGGGCCTCTCCCATCAGTGTGATCCAATATTGCTTCCCTCAGGTGTTGAAGAACGAGATCGAGAAATTGGTTTGAGAGATGTTGGAAGTATGAAATGATTGCAGTCCTTGGGGGAGACTAAGATGAATTAAAAACTCCTGACAATAAAGTTTAAGAAGGGAGACAAGAGAGTAGTGTTTCGTAGAGACCCTAATTTATGCAAGACCATGGTTAGGGCGCTTCATGATGTGGGATTAGGATTCTTAATCAAGTTGCATAGCATGAAAGAGACACGTGATATAGAGTTGCCAGATATTTCAAAGGCAATCCAACAGAGGAAATAGCTATTACAACAATTTGCAAAATTTTCTAATTGCCATGTAGATTGCCTCCTCAAAGGGAACAGCAGTATGTGAAAACCCTGAGGTCGGGGGTCTCTCCCATTAGTGTGCGCCCATATCGCTACCCCCAGGTGTAGAAGAACGAGATCGAGAAATCAAACTGAGAAATGTTGGAGGTATGAAATTGTTGCAATCCTTGGGGGAGACTAAGATGAATTAGAAACTCTTGGAAATGAAGTTTCAGAAGAGAGACAAGAAAGTAGTGCTTCGCGGAGACCCTAATTTATGCAAGACCTTACTGATACTCAAGACTATGGTTAGGGCACTTCAATACACGGGATTAGGATTCTTAATCGAGATGCGTAGCATGAAAGAGACATGTGATATAGAGTTGGAAGAGATTTCAACAGCAATCCAACAGACGGAAATAGCTCTTATGACCATGCTTGCTATTCAAAAATGAAGATTTCATTTGTTTGAGCAGCGTTTTACGGTAAGCACATCAACACAACTTTAAATTTCTATTAGAACAGCATATGATGACTGAGAAATATCAGAGGTGGTTATCTAAGTTGTTGGGGCATGACATTGAGATTCAGTATCATTTGAGATTAGAGAATAAGGTCGTTGATGTCTTATCACGGTGGATAGAGGAACCTTAATCGTTGGCATTAACAGTCCCTTTGATTTTAGATTGGGAGATCCTAAGACGGATGAGGAATTGAATTTATTGAATAGCGAGAATAGCTACCTCGGTTAATAAACAGAATGACCAACTATTGTTTTACCAGAGATGCTATGCATTATCCCAAAATTCAAGACACATATCGAAGTAATTATAGGATTTTCACGGCAGCGCTATTGAGGGACATTCGGATGTGCTCAAAGCATACCAAAGGATAGGAGAAAAATTGTATTGGGTGGGAACGAGAAAAGGTGTGGACATGGTCTTAAGGTGTGATATGTGCCAAAAGCACAAGTACATGGTTTTACAACCCCTAGCATGGCCAGACAATGTATGTGAAGAGGTGACGATGGATTTCATTGAAGGTTTATATCGGTCATAAGCATTTACAATCATCTTGGTGGTGGTGGATCGGTTATCCCTCTACGTCATTCCAACACTGATGTTTCTACCTTGTATCTTTATACAAGAGATTTTTGTTTGCATGAGATTCCAGAATCGATCATGTTGGATAGGGATAGGAAATTCTAGAGCCATTTCGGGGAGGAGGGTGGTGAAGAGAAGTGTTGCATACCATTCACAGACTGATGGACAGTCCAAAGTTGTTAAAAGGGGCATGGAGACCTACTTGCGTTATTTGTATCAGACGCGCCTAAGCAAAGGGCTAAATGGTTGCTTTAGGTAGAGTATTGGTATAACACTTTGTATCTTACAGATTCTCAAACAACTCCATTTAAAATCTTGTAAGTACGTGATTCATCCGATTTGGTGGATTATGACACAGTTCTACGCTTGTTTTTATGGTGAATCAGAACTTAGAAGATGGGGACAAAATGTTAGTTGAATTGAATAGGCACTTACTGAAAGCTCAACAATTTTTGAAAAAATAAGCCAACAGACATCGAAAGGGTGTTCAATTTATGGTAAGAGATAGAAAATATCTAAGACTTCCACCCCATCAGCAGATGACATTAGCAAAATGCAAGAATGAGAAGCTCTCCCCATGTTGCTTTGGTCCTTATGACATCACTAAAAACATTGCTATTGTGGCTTATCGTTTAAAACTATTCTCTACGTCGAAAGGTTACCAGAGTATGACGTTACGTGGAAGCCATAAGACTTGATCTAGAAACAGTTTCCTCTCTTCCAACTTGAGGACAAAGTGTCTTATTAGGAGGGGAGTGACATTAAACCAGCATCTACAACGCCTTCCACCTCCTATTCCACGGAATCAAGTGGTCCCCCTGAACACACATTAAGTCCACCAAATATTTTGAAGAACTATTTTAGGTGCAAAACTAAAAGAGCAATTTAGTCATTTGTTAGCTATTATGGTTTGGTATAAATAGAGTTTGATATGATTAGGGTTAGGGCATGTGATTGTTGTCCTAAACTCTAAGAGTTGGATTTTGGGAAAGAATTGTCTAGCTCTCAAACTGTAGCTCAATCCTTTATGTATTAAGGATAGTTTTGTTTTGTGCCGATGAAGTAAATATTTTATTTTTCTCTAATCTATGTGGAATCATGTTTTGTTCCCATCAAATTTCCTTTGAAATGAGTGCAATATTAATTATCAATGTATTACACTTATCTTAAAACAAGCTCAAAGGATTTGTAGGCCATCCTAACCAAAATCTAGGTCAAAAATAATGTTTGCCACCTCTACCTCTACTCATATACTCTAAAATCACAAGCAAAAATAATTACTAAAAATCATCTCATTTAAAATCTCCCATTCAGCACCTCCATTATGTCTCATGTAAAATTTCATTTTTGTTCTTGTGTTCTCAAATCCCTCTCTTCTCACCCTCCACTATTGTTCATAATGTAAAATTTAGTTTTCTTTCTATATGTTCCCAGGAACCGAAAAAACCTATTCCCCCATCCCACCACAACCTACCCTCCACTACCTTCTCAACACAAAAATTTCATTTTCTTTACCACTGCACTCAAACCATCACTTATTCCCGCCACCCCTCCAATATCTCATCCATGTAAAACCTTTCTTCTTTCTTGTGCCCCACACTACCTATTCCCCATGCTTCATCGCATTCATTCTCTCATTATAAAAAATTTCTTCTTCTTTATGCTTCCAAGTACTCCCTACCCTCCATCCCCTACCTCTCATCATCGTAAGTTTCATTTTCCCATCCTATGCTCTCAAAGTATCTTTCTCTTCTATCCCTCCTCACCCTCTGCCTCCCCACCCCTCCCCCCCTCCATTATCTCTACCCATACAAAATTTCACTTCTTGCTTTATCATTATAGGACCTCCCTCGCTTCATAAGTTCATTATCATCATGAAAAAATTTATTTTCTTTGCATATGCTCCAAGCCCCCCAGCTTCTTAAAATTTCACCCTCTCTATGCTCCCTAGCCTCCCCTCCAAACTTCACTCATCTTATTCCAAGCTTCAGCCAATCCAATTCTTCCACAATAAAATGCAAGTGAATTCAAGATAGAACATTGTGCATGCGCCGCATTGAGTTATGTTATACTTTCTACTTGTTATTAATTCTAAATTTCAATCAATTTTTGAACTCAATGATCATATTCATATGGGATAGAGCATTTTTAATTCAATGCTTATACCAATATTCCTAATTAGGTTGACTATTTTAAAAATAAAAATACATGTTTTCAATTTACCATTTAACTCATAGTGCATGCCTTAATAATGGCACATTCATTTTGCTAAATGCTTAGTTGCTTGTTTAAAAAAAATAAAAAATAAAAAAAATCTTTGCTCTAATTTTCAGTTTGGCATAGAAATAGATGTTAGTGCAGTGTACCTAAAAAACTATTTTAAGAAAACAATGTGTGCCCCACTTTAGTTAGAAATAAAAATTCTTTAAATTAGCCAATAAGAACGTAACAATAAAGCTTCATTCCAAATCAGTAATTTATACCAGTTCAAAGTAACACAGCATCATTCGATGACAACCACAAATTTCTTGCACAACAGAATAATTAGATAGAAGCAAGCTGATTTCATGCAAACTTGCACTAATGGAAAAAATATTTAAAAAAATGGCGATTAGCTTACCTTATCGTTCCCAAGAATGGAGCTAGTGCCATCCTTCAAGATCCAAGCATTCGATTTTACGGTAGTTTGTTCACCATTGTCTATCATTTGATTTTCAATCTCATTACCGCTCCTGGATACTTTATAATCTGGAGGATTCCACGCATTTACATTAACAGAAATATTCACAATCTTGCTAGAAGGTTTTGCTACTGCAGTAGGTGGTGCCTCCTGCTGACTCAATTTTGCTTTCTTTACAACTG